CCCTTGCTCTTTTCCACCTTTGCTCCCTTTCCCTTCTACCCCTCCTCCTTTCTACCCTTGCTCCTTTTCTACCCTTTCTTCCTTCGTCCCTTCCTCCTTTCCTTTTTTTCTTTGCTCCTCYTTTCCTTACTTCCTCCCTGTCTTCCTTATTTTCTCCACGATCAATTCCGCTATTCATCTATCTCTTCCTTCCCCTGACACATCCATACGACCATCCACCCATCTATCAATCCATCCCTCCTCCTATCCCACCATCCATCAATGCACAGTAAGCCATCTTCGGTAAACAAAGTTTTCCTTAAACAGAAACATTACAGACTGGCAGCAAATTACTTAATACATTGGAATCAGTAAGATTAGAAAGTGAAATTGCGACATATGTAAAGCCAGTGCCAATAATGTACGCCGAATAATATTTAGCTTTAAAATTCCAGAGTCTTCTCTTGAATACCTCCTATTGTTCGTAAACTAAAACTGTCAATCCTTAATTCTAAAAGAAAATAAAAAGAAATTAAAGAAAAAAAGAGAAAGAAGGGAAGGAAAAGAGGAAAAGAAAGGAAGAAAGAAATCACGTGATGGCAGCCATGACAGGGGGAATAACAATAGAGTATTTTCCCCCTGCGAAACTGAATTCTTTGTCATGTGAAATCAGACTAGACCGAATTCAATTGTTCCTGCCTCCAGCCATGGCTGTCATCACTTGATAGTGCAAAGCCTTTATAAAACCTGATAAAGTTCTGAGCCGTATTACACTTACTCTATAAAAAGAAAGAAATCTCWAGAGACTAACTTGATTAAGTGGAAGAGCTATTTAGTACATTGACATCTGCTCAATCTACTATGTTTATTTTATTTTATCATTTAATGCATAATTAATGTATTTTTTTCTCAGAATTTTATTTTTATTTTTAAGGATTAGTGACCCCAGATCATCACATTAGTGTTTATCGTGCAGATTGTTGAAATCCTGGTTTCAAAGTTCATTTTAATTTGTCATTGAAGTAACTATATTGGAAATGTTTTTTTAAAATTATTGATAAAACTCGCATTCTTAGTTTTGGTTATATTGAATATTAATTTCARAAATTATATATATTCCTCAAAACTAAACTTAATTTGTGACATGCATTATATTTTGTGGGAGATTTCGAACTTGTAAGGGCAGAAGCCTGACACTTATCGAGATTAAAGATAGGTTTGCACAAAACAAACAACGAATAATAGCTCTTACTAAAGAGATATTGAATAAAGAAGATAAAAGAGCAATATCTCTTTAAATAAAAGACACTTACCAYTGGTTTGGTGCCAGAATAAAGCCAGTAGCAGAAAGAAAGAAGACAGTAGAGTTTTGCATTTGAAAACCAATGTTTCCATAGCCTTGCAGTCGGGATGGAACGAATGCTGACGTTCCATTGGAGGTGTGTCACGGAAATAGGATTTTCACGTGATGTTTTTTTCTAAAAAAAAAAGGTGACTTATTAACTATTCTGTGCTAAGTAAAATTTGATTTGAAGAATACAAACCCACTGCCACTGCCACTGCCACTGCCACTGCCACTGCCACTGCCACTGCCACTGCC